CCAACTTTCTCTGCCCCTAAACTTCCTTTTAAAATTATATTGTTAACTCGTATTGTTTCTAATCCAAACATATTCCAAAATGCATGATTTCAACATCCCTATGCTAAATTACATCTGCTTTGTGCCTGCCCATTCTCCCTGTTACTGTGCACCTCAATGTTTTACTATGTTTCAAAGGCTCATGCTGTCTGCACTGAAATTACACCATTAATATATATCAAGAAAATCCTATTGACCTTGGAGACACCACTGTAGACTTAGCTTCAGTCTGAAAAACAACTGTCCCATCAGTACTCTGCTATCTGCTGCTCAGCAACGTCTGGGGAAAATGGTTCTCCTGAAATGTTGTAAATAGAGTAGCATTGATCTCCTCTATTTCTTAATTTGCAGTTAGATATTTTACATAATCAAGAGTTTTTTTAATTATATGACTGTTTATTGCACCTCTCTGGTTGCCCCACATTTAAAATGAATTCATTTTGAAGTGCAGTCAGTATTAACATGTGAACAAATGTTCACTCAGTTCGCACATAGGAAGGTCCCCAACACAGGAATAAGATGGAAGACGAAGCATGTTTTTTTTAATGGGTCTTAGCTGAGGAACGTATGTTAACTATGACAATGAGATAATTCATTTTGCTAATTTAGTCATGTAATGAGACATCACATGCACATGAACAGGCAGCTGGGAGCTTACCCCTGCTGACATGTCTTATGAATCCACATGGGAGAAAAGTCTTTGAAATGTCTTTGGAGGGCCTGCAGGGTGGGGCTTTGAGCTGTCGCATTCTATAACAGTCCCTTCAGTCTGTCTTACATGACCCAGCTTTCTGAACGGAATATCCACTTTGTCCTAACTTAACCATCCATTTCTTCTAAAACTTTCAATTTTTTTCTGTGGCTTTTCAAATTCAGTTCTTTAAAAAAGCTGTTCTTAATTCTGTTTGTGTTGCTTTGGGACTGGAGTCCAGTTCAGATCGTACTACTTTGTAGGAAAATCATGATTCCAATTCTGTACTCATTGACCAGAAGATCATTAAAAATTGACTGGTTTTATAATGACAAATGACAGGCACGATATTTGCTGAGTTCCCTTTTTATTGTGAGAATAGTAGAATGGCTGACTGTCATCCCCTGGTTGCTTTTGTGTTTTCGTCTCTGTGTGTGGATGCTTAGTTATTTATTTTTATGGGCACGTAGACCACAATTCCTCAGTCTTGCAGCCAGGTTTAAAAATAATTCATCATGTTCTCCTCTCTCCTATTGCCTTGACTAGAATACCAATGGGGCCAGGGAAAAAATGAATTATGACTCATAATTCATGAAGAATTTATTGGAATTTTCAGTTGTGGAAATGATCTCGCCTCTTCCTTCATTCCGGAGGCAGTAGTTTCTCTGAAATCATCCCAAAATCTACATTTCATGTAGATACTAATCTTGGAGTTATTGAAATTCTTTTCTTTAAATAAAAGACTAACTGTTTCTTCAACTTTTTAATTTCTTGTGCTCGAGCAGTCAGTTCCCACATGGCCATGCTTGTGTGCAACTTCCTGATTGAATGTGAATAAAACCAGATTTTCTAACAGTTAGTTATTAACACAAGCTGCTTTGTGCACAGTGAACTCCTGGCACTTTTAGCATACTGACTTCCAGCAACCTGTTAAATAATAATCTGATGAATTTTAATTGTTTTCATACAAGATGTAGGTGATCTTCAGTGCCATAACTTCCACTCATTGTTAATCCTCAGCATATGCAAGACGGTTTTTGTTGTACAGTGTAGCAAACTGGCTGAGACTCCTCTTAAAAATCCCAGGTAACAGCTTAATTGGATTTTTGTGGCTAATCTTGCAGTGTGACTGTAACTCATTTGGGAGGGAAGAAAGTGCAGTATTAGCAGCTCCTCATCTAGACGTTCTGTCTGCATTAAAAATGATGAGAATTCTAACCAAACATTGACATGTCCATATTTGGGTTACCATTGTAAACATTTGACGTTTGTTTTCCTCTTGGCAGCAACTTTGATTTTAATGCGTCAGAAAAGAGCTAGTGTCATAAACCCCAGTGTGTATTTTTAGACTCCTTTTTGTAATATTTACGGTCATCGATGAAATAGTGCCCTGTAGATTTAAAAAGCCACAGTATGTTGTGCCTGCCTCACTAATTATGTGCCATTTAAGGGAATGCCTTTGGGGAACTACATCTGGTCAGGAGGAGAGCGATATACTCGTGAATTCAATTTAATTAGAGATCTGTTGTCCAGACTAAAAAAGACCAAGAAGAATTAAACTATTCACCATCCATATAAGATATCCTTTTTAGCTTTGTTGAGATTTATGTATGGAATTAGATCACCGAATGCAGTGGTTTGGCACTTTTCTGTCAAAGTCTAGAACTTGATTTTTTGATGTATTTCCATGTCACTCTGTGTCTTTAGTAAGTTCACTGCAGTATGCATGCCTGTGCCATGCCCCTCTATCAATTTCCCTTCTTGTACCAGGCACATCCTTTTCTAGCTCCTTGTGCCAAGTATCTTCCATGTCAACTCACTATATCTCTTTCTATATAAGTTCACATGCCTATAGTAAAAGAAGGTTAAAAAATATGCATCCAATCTACCAAACCTTCACTTTCTCATGGAAGGTATCCCCGGGACCTGGTCATGTGTATCTGAGGACATTGTGGGATACCTAGGGAAGAAACTGCGTGGTCCCTGGCAGAGATATTTGTATCATCAACAGCCACGGCTGAGGTGCCAGAAGATTGGAGGGTGGTTAATGTTGTGCCATTATTTAAGAAAGGCTACAAGGAAAAGCCAGGGAACTATAGACCGGTGAGCCTGACGTCATTAGTTTGGAGTCATGGTTAAGTTTTTGGAGGGGATTCTGAAAGACAGGATTTATGTGCATTTGGAAAGGCAAGGACTGACTCAGGATAATCAGCATGGCTCTGTGCATGGTAAATTGTGTCTTACAAACTTGACTGAGTTTTTTTTTGAAGAGGTGACCAAGAAGATAGATGAAGACGGAGCAGTAAACATTTTCTACATGGACTTGAGCAAGGCTGTTGACAGGGTTCTGCATGTTAAATTGGGTAGTAAAGTTAGTTCACATGGGATCCAGGGAGAGCTAGCCAATTGGATGGAAAATTGGCTTGACAGTAGGAAACGATGGCGGTAGAGGGTTGTTGTTCGAACTAGAAGCCTGTGCCACAAGGACCGGTGCTGGGTCTAGTGTTGTTTGTCATATATATAAATGATTTACATGAGAATTTAAGAGGCAGGTTAGTAAGTTTGCGGATGACATCAAAATTGCTGGTATAGTCGACAGTGAAAAAGATGATCTAAGAGTACAACGAGATCTTGATCAGCTGGGCCAATGAGCCGAGGAGTGGCAGATGGAGTTTAATTTGGATAAATGCGAGGTGTTGCATCTTGGTAAGGCAAACCAGGGCAGAATTTCTATAGTTAATGGTAGACCCTGTGGCGTGTAGTCGAACAGAGAGACTTAGGGGTGCAAGTACATAGTTCCTTGAAAGTGGCATCATAAGTAGACTAGGTGGTGAAGAAGGGATTTTGCATGTTTGCCTTCATTGGTCAAAACATTGAGTATAGGAGTTGGGATGTCATGTTATGGCTGTACAGGATGTGGTGAGACTGTTGTTTTAGAGTTCTGTGTACAGTTCCAGTCATGCTGCTATAGGAAGGATGTTATTAAGCTGGAAAAGGTGCAGAAAAGATTTACAAGGATGTTGTCCGGGACTGGAAGGTTTGAATTATAAGGAAAGGCTAAATAGGCTGGGACTTTTTTCCGTGGAGCATAGGAGACTGAAGACTCTTCTAGAGGTTTATTAAATCATGAGAGGCATAGACAAGGTGAATAGCCAAGGTCTTTTGCCCAAGGTAGGGGAGCCCAAAACTAATGGGCATAGGTTTAAGGTGAAGGAGGGAAAGATTTAAAAGGGATCTAAGGGGCAACTTTTTCACACGGGTGGGGCAAATATGATATGAACTGCCAGAGGAAGTGATGGAGGTGAGCAAAGTAACGACATTTAAAAGACGTTTGGACAGGTACGTGAATTGGGGTATCGGCCAAACGCAGGCAAATGGGACTAGTTGAGTTTAGGATATGGCATGACGAGTTGGACTGAAAGGTCCGCTTCTGTGCTCCCTGACTCTATGGTTACGTTACCCCCGGGAGAGACGGTATAACAGAAAGCAAAAATCTGTGACGAGTTCAGGAAATATTACATGCCTAATACAATGTAAGTTAAACTAGTAAAACTCTAATTTTGAAACTATGCTTTGAATGTGAGGAGAAAGTGCTGCTCTACCTATTGCTCCAGAATAAGCGACACCCTTAACCTTGCATTCTAATGAAATCTTTGTAATAAAGGATAGAATAGTGAAGTACCTATGAAGATTAGAATCCAAAGGGCATTAAGTTCACCAGTTTGTTCCTTTAACAGATGATTGGGTCTCTGAGATTGCACCAATCTTTGTGTTCTCTCATTAGGGTGATTATTCATTTTTGTTTTCTTCTTCAGTGCCTTCAAATTGTAAAGTTTGATGGAACATATTTGGTCTTGGTAATTTTGCTTTGGTTATGGAGCTGCAAGTGACCAGGAAGTTCTTGATCCTGCTGAAAATTGACTGATTTTACTGACTTAGACCTAGCATTTTGTCACATAAGACATTGTTGAATGTTGCAAGGTGCTGAACATTCCTGTGTTTCTCAAGATACACAGGATTCTCCTGACTGTGGTTACAAATTCTTTGTGAGCTGCATAGTTTACACCATGTTTGTGGCATTTTGGGCCAGCCAGTGAAACTGATCATTACCTCCCATAGCCAACTGTTAAAATGGGTTGAAGTATTCAGAAGTTTTGCCAGATTAGTAGAGTTGACTGGCTTATCACCAGCTTCTGACCTGTGAGACAGCTTGCAGCACTATCGGTGAGTAAAACACCTTAAAACCACACTGTTATTCTCTTGCTTCTAGTTAATTCGAACTTCTGGTGACACTCGCTGTGGATTTATCTTGCATTGCAGATTGGATTGCATGGGCTGGTGAGTGTGTGAAGAAACATTAAATATATTGAGCATATTGTGAATTGCATGCAATTTCAGGGTGTAATGAGATATGATTACACCTTGAAAAGCTATCATGCTTCCCCTGATAGCAATTAGGTAATGTCATAGAATAAAGAGGGTGAAGAGTACATTTTATTGTTTGTTTCATTTTTTTTCAAGAGCGATGCCTAATTGTACGCTCTTGTTTAAATTAAGTGAGCAAAAAGTCTGAAGCACTCAGCCAGTAGAGCATCTGGATTGTACTAGATTGCAACAGCAGGAACTCTTGGTACAGCAGTATTAGTTTTCACTGAGCGATGGTCAGTAAACTTAACCTAAATGTGGGAAAATAAATACATTAGCATTCAACATCACTTTCAATCACCGTCACTCTCTAGAAGGTGGGTGAAAGGGTTCACTTGTAATGCCTTTATCTCCGAGTTGAGATCTGGTATGCAGTCATAAATTTTTACTTTACTGAATGATTCCATTTGCTTTCATTCCTACAGAACAATCAAGGGCAGGGCTGTGATGTAACATAATTTAAACTCTTTGTTATCTTTGTGGAGTTGGTTTGGACAAAACTTGGTGATACAGTATGGTGTATTATTGGGTCAGGATTTACTGTTGAGAGTCAATAATGTTGAAGATTCAGTTGTTTATAAATTACAAAACAAGGTTCAAGAAAATTTCTCCAATTCTAAGAAGGAACATTTGTGTGTTTATGTGACCATGCTAAGTGAAATGACTAGCCTCTAAGGTTTTGGAGTAGATTTGTAGCTCAGGTTGTGGGTGTTGAGGTTGGTTGGCTCGCTGAGCTGGTTCTTTGTTCCGCAGACGTTTCGTTACCCTACTGGGTAACGTCCTCAGTGCAGCCTCCGATGAAGCGTCGGTGTGTTTTCCCTCCTGGTTTTTAAACTCTGGAGTCCGTTGAGCTGGATTGCTTCACTTCCGGTTTTCCTTCATAGTGGAGTGTATATGGCGTCGAGTTCTATGTGTTTATTAATGGCTTTCTTCGTGGAGTGCCAGGCTTCTAGGAATTGCTGTGCGTGTCTCTGCTTAGCTTGTCCCAGGATTTTGGTGTTGTCCCAGTCGAATTGGTGGTTCTCCTTATTTATGTGGATAGAGATGAGTGAGTATTAGTCATGCCTTTTTGTAGCCAGTTGGTGTTCGTGTACCCTTGTTGTTAGTTTCCTTCCTGTTTGTCCGATGTAGTGTTTCTCACAGTCTCTGCAGGGGATCTTATAGATGACATTGGTCCTGTCCATGGTGGGGAGTGGGTCTTTAGTTCGGGTGAGCAGTTGTCGTAGGGTTGATGTGGGCTTGTGTGCCACTCTGATGCCCAGCAGTTGTAGGAGTCTTGTGGTTAGTTCCGATGTGTTCCTGATGTAGAGTAGTGTGATGAGTGTGTCAGGGCGTGTTGTATCTTCCTGATGTTATTCGTGTAGGCATCTTCTGACCCAGTTTTTTGGATATCCGTTATCCTTGAAAACCTGGAAGAGGTATTCTTCTTCCTCTTGGCGTAGTTCTGTGTTGCTGCAGTGAAATGACTAGTTTTGTTTTTTATGGTGCTGATTGGAATATAATTGTTGGTCAGGGCAAAACTTCTTGTGTTCCTCCTCTAGCAATACCATTGTATCCTTTTCAGGTCAAACTGGATGGCACACTTTGTCATCTCATTAAAAAAGGTGGTACTTGTGCTACAGTGGTATCTCACGATATCTTCTCATAATACGTCATTAATGTTGACTTCAATATTAAGCAACTTTTCATTATTTGTAACGTAATATGCTAAGCCTTCCATTTTGAGTCACAACTAGAGCTGGATTTTGTAGACATTGAGATTTCTGTGATTTTCCTCCTCCCTGTTCCTTTGCCAACTAAAAGGTTGGGGGCGGTGTGGGGAGGGAAGTGGGCACAAAGCCCACCCATAACCCTGTCGGCTGCCCTGCAGCAATGTAACATCGGTTTTTAAGGTGAGACTTCCACATCTTTCTCTGAAGGAGGTCCTGTCAGAAAGATCCTTTCATAGGGCTGAGAGACCAACTGGCAAACAGCTACCGAGCTTCTTGCATGTGTGCCCATTCTGCCCCCAAAGGTAAATTAGACAGAAGTGCCTGAAATGGCAGAATTTGTGATTTTTTTGTTTTTTTTTTCCTGAGGGAAATCGTGAGAGTAGGGGACGGATTTGTGCCCACTAGCCCCAGGTACAGACTGAAGACAGCCACCAGTTCAGAGTACCAAGTTGTCTGGTAAGAATGGCCAACCCTCTAGCTCCCATCTCCATGGCTCCTTTATAGCTCAGAGCCAACTTGATGCCAATGCATGCCCCCCCACTCTGTGACCTTGCACTCTCCATGCCAACTCATTTAGCATCCATTATAAGTATACCTTAGGAGCCATGCTAAGGTGAAATAAAAGAAAGTTCTAAATATTTTAAAATAATATTTTAATGGAGTACACTTTATTTTTAAAAAAAACTCCCATTCAGTACATCTAAAACTCCTCAAATACTTAATCCCATAAAAACAACTATTTTTTGTAATCATTGTCATTAAGACAATTCATTTTTCAATACCCTCTTTGGGCTGTAAATCAAACTGACAGCTCTCATGAAAAACATCACTATTCATTCTGCTATAGTGATAGCACTTAATGTTATGTCAGCAAGCAGCTATTGAAACTATTAGAGCAGATCAGTTTCAACTCTGAGGCAGATTTTTTTCCACTTATTAAAGGGCTGCTCATTTTAAATAACATGGCAGTTCTTGCCTAGCCCAGTGTTTTCAGGTCTGTAGCTCTGATTCTCTCTCACTGTCTCCACAGATGATGAATACATGAGCTGAGTATTTTGAACTTTCAGTAAAATAGTTTAGATTTCTGATATTCCAGTTATTCACTTTTGCAGTGGAATTCTTGCTGTAATTGTTAATAGAATTGTTAAATTGTTACTGTGCCCCTTACCTCCGAGTTAAAAATTTCCAGCTTGTGGTCCATTTGCAGCTATCGAATTCATTTGTTTGACTTTGCTCTTGCTTAGGAGAGCAAAGAAACAATAAAGGTCATTTCAGTCACCCTTTGGGAAAACACTCTCATCCATAATCCTGTGGTGTGGCACAGTGGCTCAGTTCAAGGACTCCGGCTGAATTCCAGCCTATGGCAATTTGTCTGTGGAGTTTGCACATTTTCCCCATGTCTGCAAGGGGTTCTGCCGGGTGCTCAGCTTTCCTCCCACAGACCAAAAACGTGCAGGTTAGGTGGAAAATTTAGCATTGCCAACCCATTGCATCCAGGGATGTGCAGGCGAGGTGGGTTATAAGGATAGGGTAGGGGGGGTGGATCTGGGTGTCCTGTTGTTTGGAGGGTTGGTATGGACCCGATGGGCCAAGTGGCCTGCTTCCATACTGTAGAGATTCTACAATCATCACTAAAGCAAATCAACAGTGGTGTTTTCAGTGGTGCAGCTGGTTGCTATCTACACATAGGATTAGTTCCTTCTGTTTTCATTCCAGCTAGATCAGCTTTTTTGGCTGATGTTAAAGATTTTATACTGCATTACAAATTGAAAAGGCTCCTTCGGTTGCACCTTTCAAACTCTACCACTGGAAAGGTAGGGGTGGCACACCTAGGAACACCCGCACCTCATGTTCCCTGATAAAGTTGCATGCCATCCTGATTTGGAACCATCTCCCCTCTTCCTTCTAGGCCACTGTACCAAATCCAGAAACACCATCTCTTAGCTAAACTGTGGGTGTACCCCCTACTCAGCATGGATTGCAGCTTTGAAGATTCATTACCACCTCCTTGGGGATGATTTGGAATGTGCAGTAAATACTGTCTTTGCCAGCAGTGCTCGTGTCCTCTGATATTTTTTTTTTTTTTTTTTTTTTTTTTTTTTTTGGAACAAAATCCTCCCTAAAGCGAATAACAACAAAACTAGAGGACATTGATATGAGAGTCACGGAAAAATCCCAACAGAACAATTCAGTTGAGACATCTTAACCCAGAGAGTGGGACGAATGTGGAGCTTGCTGCCATGTGAAGTTTTGTGGCAAAATGGCATTGATGTGTTTAAGGGGAAGTTGGATGAACGCATGAGGGAGAAAGATCTAAATGAGGAAGACCAGGGAGAGGCTTTACTTGGAGGAGAAATGTAGTTCGGCCACATCTGGAGTATTGTGTCCAGTTCTGGTCGCCTCATTACAAGAAAGATGTGGAAGTATTAGAAAAGATGCAGAGGAGATTTACCAGGATGTGGCCTGGAATGGAGGGAAGGCCTTACGAGGAAAGGTTGAGAGAGCTAGGGCTTTTCACTTTAGAACGACGAAGGATGATAGGTGACTTGATAGAGGTGTACAAAATGATCAGAGGTATAGATAGAGTGGACAGCTAGACACTTTTTTCCCAGGGTGGAGGTAGCTATTACGAGGGGGCATAGTTTTAAAGTGAGTGGAAGTAGATATAGGGGAGACGTCAGGGGTAGGTTCTTTACTCAGAGAGTGGTAGGGGCGTGGAATGCATTGCCGGAGCAGGTAGTGGAGTCGGCCTCATTAGGGGCATTTAAGCGGCAATTAGATAGGTATATGGATGATAGTATAAGGTAGGGGTGGCGGTTAGATAGACCTTAGGTTTAGGGTAAAAGTTCAGCACAACGTTGTGGGCCGAAGGACCTGTACTGTTCTATGTTCTGTGTTCTATTAATACACTGATTGGGCCAATAAGGCCTATGGGAGTCATACAGTGTGGAAACGGACCATTGGGTCCAACCAGCCCATGCTGACCATGTTCCCAAACTAAAGTAGTCCCACTTGCCTGTCTGTGGCAGTTCATTCCACACACGAACCATTCTGTGCTTTTTAAAAAAAAAAAATTAACCCCTCCTCTCGCCCTAAAAATATGCCTCCTAGTTTTGAACTGTCCCACCATAGGGAAAAGATCCTTGTCATTCACCTTGTCTACGCCCCTCATGATCTTGTAAACCTCTATAAGATCACCCC